TTCAGCTTAACTGGAAGAGCATAAAACTCTGCTCAGCTGAACATGTGAAGCAAACAGAAAAACCCATCCTGCAAGTTCTGGGTGGGCTCGGAGTTGTAGACTTTCTCCCTTGAGAGCAATTCTGTATGGAACATTCCCACTGCTGGAGCGGATGGCGGTGCTGATAAATGGGAACGTGGGCTGCATCCACATGTAGCGTCACCTGGGCTAATGTGGCTCATCTCAAGCTCGGAGGAAATGGAAATCATAGAATGATTAAGGTTGGAAAAGATCTCTACTACAACAAGTCCATCTGACAACCCATCTCCACCATGCCTGCTGCAGTGCCCAGTGCCCCACTGCACCTGGGTTTAAGCTGCCCTTGCGTCTGCAGTGACCTGAACGAGGGTTTGGATTTGAGCTTTTTCCTGAACGTTTTGAAAGATTAGAAGGGCTCAAAGAAGAGGATAAGTGAAACAATCGTTCTTCTCATGAAACGAATGGTTCAGGGACTAATCCTGCATCCCCACCGTGCCTTAAACACCTAGTGAAACCAGAAACGCGGAGCACGCACGGTGCAGCAGAACCCTCCTAAGGACAGGGAGGCTTTTACTGCTCTGAGAGGTGTCTTTGGTAATTTAAGATAGAGCAACCATGTGGTCGCAGAGGAGATTAACATTCCTTGGCCAGAGAGGATGAGCTTTTATTTTGAAAGCCACCTGGGTTCCACTTAAAAGTGGTGGAATACTTCAGAATTTATTACGGCTGAGCAGGCTCCTATTTAACAATGTCAAGACATAGCTGTGGAAATACACACACTTTTCTTCTTTGGAGACACGCAACGCACTACAGTTCGTCCTCGCACAGCTGTTGCTGTTCTGTAACATCAAACCAGCTCAGAGTTTGGCCACGAAGGATACCTAATATTTGGATTTTATATGCAGTGTCTCCAATTTATGTGCTTAGAATCATGAAGATGACTTATGATGTGTTGTGTTTGCATTGGCAACGGCTCAAAACCAGAAATATATTTCAGGCTTGGCTTTCCAGATATTATCTCAAGTCATTTAAAAGTTCATTATAGGGCACCCGCTAGTGCTGCTATAGTAAAAGGGCTGTCAGCATTTTTCAAGGGTTTATAACTCAGCCATTAAAAAAAAAAAATGTCTGTGGGCTGAAACTTGGCATTCAGGGGGTAGACCCAGCAGTAAATTGTTTTTACAAATTAAAAAAAAAAAAAAAAGTCAATTTGACTATTATTAAATTATAGGTGGGCTAAATTTTATTTAGAACTTATTCAGGCTATTCTCCTGTACTTCTGTAAATTAAAATGTGTCTGAAACGTTCTCATGGAGTGCAGCTCTAAAATACAGACCAGCTGTTGTTGTTCTTGAAATCCTGAGATTGAACTGAAAATATAACAACAGCGCTTATCCCAGCATAGCACTTTTCACCTTCAAAGTGCTTTACGAGCATTATCTCATTAATGTACATAGCAGCCTCCCCATGATGTAAGAGGGATTATTATCCTCACTTTATAGCTGGAGAAACCGAGCCAAAAGGTTTAAGGCTGTTTTTAAAAGGACTTAGTTGCACAAATCCCGTGTGAGCTTTGATTGGCTTTGGGTGTCTGCTTCCCTTCGGCTCTTCTGAAAATCCCAGCCGGGGTGATTCACCCAGCGCTGCTCGGAGCCAGCACTGCACTCACACTTTCCAATGGCTGCTGCCACTTGAGCGTCGTTAACTTGTGCATAAGAACCATCATGTTTCTAACAAATTATTCTTTTGGGCAGAGAGAGGCGGCAGCCATGCTCACCCCCTGCTGAAGCCCAGAAGGAGGATCTACCCCTGTTTTTCTTGGCCTCTTTTGTCCCAGCGTTAGAGCTGATGGCACCAGAGAGCGGCTGGACAGAAACCTGAGGAGTTGCTTTGTTGTTGGTTGTCGTTAGGGAGAGGATGGTGGTGGTAGCTTTGGGGATTTGATGGGCTTTGGAAGCTAAGGGTTAAATTTGAGGGCTGGAAGTAGAATTGGGCTTCCCTTTGGCTGCTCTGTGCTAGGTGAGGGCAGCAGTGGGTGGCACTCATTCGTTCTCTTAGTCCGGTATTCCTCAGGTTCCCAAACCTGGCATGGTTTGGAAGCACTGTTGGACCTTCAGCTCACTGTCAGTAACAGAAATGCTTCACCCATGAGAAACTTCTTGTGAAGATTCCAGCTGCCTGGAACTTTCCCTGCTCACATCTCATATCAGGTGTTTTACAATCTGCTGCCTGAGCTGATGTAAGATTTGGACGCAAATTGCATGGATTGAAGGACTAAGCTAAGCTGAATTTTGAAGATGCTATTTGTTTTAGAGTTCCTGTAATAGTTTGCAGAGAAGGCAAAGAAAGCTTGGGGAAGAGTGGGAAGTCCTGGCACCAGAGGCTGCTTCTGTGGGTACCTGCAGAGAAGCAGCCCCATAGCTCTTGCTGCGATGGCTGTACTTCCCCATTGCCTCACTGTTGGCACTGGTACTTTGAAATCCTTCTGCATCTGGTATCCTACCCAACATCATTATTATTCCTTTATTTGCTTCTTCTGCACACTCCAGGACCTTTAAAATATTCTATTTACTGTTGCTTGTCAGCAAGACCATCGCAGGACTGAGGCCATTATGTTTTCTGTCTGTATTGCACTGAAGGTGTTTGAACTTCTGTCTATGAAACAAAATCAGGAGTTATGTCAAGGATTGTGATGTAGAAATGCACTGGATCATTAAGCGTGGTTATCCACTTCCATGTGATTAGTGTGACTCTGTTAAGCACTCTGTGGGGAGAGCCCAAGAATACGTGTGCTGATTTAGATGATACTTCCCAATGAGGTTATGAAGGTGCAAGTCAGAAATGCTTTTAGTCTCGCAGAAGTGGCTCTGGAGAGGTAAGGAGCAGCCTGGCACCCGGGGTGGGATGCTGAGCCCATTGTCTGCCTTCACCACTCAGCTGCTTGGACACCAGACACGGTTTTAGCTAACCAGGTCTATAGGAGCACAGTTAGCAGTATGATTTTGCAGTTTCATATCTGCGCGTTAACAGACTTGATCAGTGAAAGATTGCTGTGTGGGCAGCTCCTTTGTGCACAGTGCTTATCCTAACAGCACCTCGGGAGAACAGGGATGTGCTGCATGCAGTGCTATGCAAATCCAGGGTAAGAACTCACACACTAAGGAGATTAAATACAAAGGGGAGAGATACTGATACTCACAAGACATAATGAAGGGAGTAGCCAGTGAAGACATGATTAAAATAAGTAATTAGGGAAGTGGATTAGTTGAGTAAGGTACTTAGCCAAGCTGTTTTTATTGGGTGCTGGAGATCTTTCTCCTAATTTCAGGCAGGCTTGCTGCTGCAGGTAACAGTGGATGCAGCCGTCCGTGGCCGCTCCAGCAGCACAAGTTCAGTTACTGATGGGCCTCATCCACCTCCCAGCCCTGGGTTTCCCACTGCCTGGCTGCCCTGCTGAGACACTGCTAATGGGCTCTGCCCACTAATGACCACATGGGTTTGAACCTGTGACACCGAGATGAAAGCCCGCGTATTCCGTTCCCCTAACCCAATCCATCTCGCTCTCTGCCTTTAAAGGATTTAATTAAATGCTGAGTACAGTTAACTAGAAATGGCCTTCTTCCTGACTGGTGCGGAGTGAAATAGCACTTGACAGGAGAAGGCAATGCTCATGAACGGATTAGAAGAGATTAATTTTGTGAAATTGTGATTTAACATTCTCTGTCTTAACAAAATGAAAGAATTCTTGATCTTATGCTTGCAACTATCATGAGACCTATTTCAGATTAAACTTCAGTGCCTTCCCCTGAGGAAACACTGAGAGGAAAGCCTTCATCTTGCAGATATGATCCCCATTCCTTCATCTGTGCTCTTAGTGCTTGCAGAACCATTTGCAACGTATCTGCACTGCTCTGCAGCTCCATTAAAAATGGCTCTGAGGTCCTCGTGGCTGAGTGGCTTATTTCATACATTGGTGCATTCTGTGGATGCAGACGTGAGCAGGGCAGATGTGTGAGGCACAAACAATAAAATAAGCAGCTGAATTTACAGTGGATCTTTTTGCATTTACTGGTTAGCGAAAAGGAAAAATAAATTAAACAGAGGTGAGGCATTACATCTTTCTGTTGTGTTGAATGAAGCCAAATACAGGATGATGCTGAGAAAGTGAAGAAAATCTATGGATGTACAAAGGGAAAGAAGCTTTTGAGAACAGTATGACTACTGTGTGACTACTATGAGTACTGTGTCCAGGTCTGGAAACCCCAGTACAATAAAGACAGGGGAGCTGTTGGAGAGGTTCAGAGGAGGGCCACAAAGATGATCAGGGGGCTGGAGCACCTCCTCTACGAGGACAGGCTGAGGGAGCTGGGCTTGTTCAGCCTGAAGAAAAGAAGGCTGTGGGGTGACCTCATTTCAGCCTTCGGTACCTAAAGGGAGCCTATAAACAGGAGGGGAATCAACTCTTTGAAAGGGTAGATAACAGCAGGACAAGGGAAAAATGGTTTGAAGTTGAGGGAGGGAAGATTTGGGTTGGATGTCAGGTGGAAGTTTTTTACAGAGAGAGTGGTGAGGTGCTGGAACAGCTGCCCAGAGAGGCTGTGGATGCCCCATCCATCCCTGGAGGTGTTCAAGTCCAGGTTGGATGGGCAGCCTGGGGCTGGTATTAAGTGTGGAGATTGGTGGCCCTGCATGTGGCGGGGGGTTGGAGATTCATCATCCTTGAGGTCCCTTCCAACCCGGGCCATTCTGTGATTCTGTGACTACAGTGTAGTGAAAATAGCAAAATGTGTTCCTTTTTTCACTGTGCAAAACTATGTGGAACCCAGAGTGGCCCTGAAACACAAATTAACAAGGAGAATTTTTGGTGAAACCCAATAGCCACTTCCTTCATTTCCCTTTCAAAGATAGGAGAGAGAGCTCTTTCAAATAACACTTCCCGAGCTGGATTTTTTTAACTCACCTTGTTTCTTTTTCCACAACAGATTACTTCTTGACGCTCGACGAGCCGATGAACAACATCACCACCACCCTCGGCCAGACCGCAGAGCTGCACTGTAAGGTGTCTGGCAACCCTCCGCCCACCGTGCGCTGGCTGAAGAACGACGCTCCCGTGGTCCAGGAGCCCCGGCGCATCTCCTTCCGTGCAACCAGCTATGGCTCCAGGCTGAGGATCAGAAACCTGGACACCACCGACACCGGCTACTTCCAGTGCGTCGCAACCAACGGCAGGAAGACTGTTTCTACCACCGGTGTGCTGTTTGTCAAATTCGGTACGTTATCTCCTTTGAAGCTGTTCGAATTGAAAATAGCGCAGGTAACTCTGGATAAAGTTCTCAGTAGAATATCCCGCATTGGAAGGGATCCATGGGATCTTCAAGTCCAGCTCCTGTGTTGTATTAACCACTGAAAACATGGCTACTGACCCTGGAAGCATTCAAGGCCAGGCTGGATGTGGCTCTGGGCAGCCTGGTCTGCTGGTTGGCGACCCAGGCCATTCTGTGATATGATTCTGTGATGGAATGGTGTCAGCCAGCAGCATTGCTCACTGCTCAGCTGAGATGCCCGTCATGCCAGCTGTAATGGTGGTCTTTAGTATACAAAAGTCCAATAGAACCAGGACATAAACAGGGACCGCTGAGCAGCAGTGTTCATTGGTACACCAGCAGGGTGGATTCAGACCAGATGATAAAAGCTGTGATTTTCTCAAGTGCCCAAGTTACATCCTCTTCTTCTAGTAAGTGAGAAATTCAGCTTGCAGCTTGGAGAAGATTGGAGGTGGAGTGAAAATGTTATGTGTAGACCCATTAGTGATATATATATACCTTTCAGATAAAATAAGCACTTCTTCGAAGTTCATATTGAGGCAATTGCCTTCATAGACAGTCTTATGACTGGGATGATTCCAGACATGAGATGGGTTTTGTGCATCCTATCCATCTTCACTCAGGGTGAAATACTTCACCGAGGTGAGGATGCTTGCATAGAACCCCAGGCAGTCCTCATAGCAACACAGAAGGAATGATGTATCTGATGTGTCCCAGAGTCTTTCATCATGAATCTCTAAATTCTAATAAGAAATTGGTCATTGGATTTTCTCATAAAGTAATTGTCCTTTAGATTATATCTGAAATTTAGGATATTTTTATCTAAATAAAAAATGGCACTTTATAGACACTGCTGTAGAAAACACAGAATATTTTTTCTGGTTTGCTGACTGGAGCAACATTTAATCTTACAACTCAATTTCTAAAGCAAATGCTCATTAATATGAATGTCTCTTAAACCTGCTGCAGCTGACTCTTCAGTTTGCTCTGTGCTGCTGAACTGCATTCAGCTCAGCCAGTCCAGTATTTGCCAAATTATAAACACCAAAGGCACCACCAGCGAAACACTGTCAGCCAACGCCTGCTGAATCAGGCCAAGGATGAATACCCTGAAACACAATGAAGATTGATAGAGGGAAATGATGCTGTTTTCTCCCACTTATAGTTAGAACATGCTTTTGTACAAGCCTCCTGTGGTTTGCTGCAACCTTTTTTGTCGTGACCCCAAACACAGTCGAATTACAGAATCAGTCCCTCAGCTGTTTATTACCCTTATCTACAGCATTTTGCAGACAGTCACTGCTACAGGATAGTCTTGTCTTTGCTATTGAGAAATGGAGACTTGCCTGTTAAACTACATAAACCACATTCAACATGACAGACTGTTACTTTTATCTTTTAAAAGGTTTTGAAAAGCTTCCTGCTTGTTACCTCACTATAACTCATCACACTGTTTTTCTTCTGTCATTTTTCCAGGTCCCCCACCAACAGCAAGTCCAGGATCATCGTAAGTTGTTTCATGTCTCTTAAGTCGATTCATTAATCTTGCATTTCAGCAGTCAGAAGTTCATTTTTCATTTTGTGTGACAGAAGCACTTTTACATTCCACTTTAAGTCAGATAGGATCATAATTTATTGTAACTGAATTATCTGTCTCATAGATAAATTTTCATGTTATCATGTCAACTCCTATTTCTTAAGCTAGACCTCTTATTTTCCAGTATTTTTTCCTTTAGGTCCCCTGGTGCCTTCAGCCTTTGAACTGATTTCAGTGTACATACAGAATGCACTGTATGAGGTGAAACCGACCTTCTTAGTCATAGCCCAATATGGATAATATTTGACTAAGTAGATGTTACTACCTAGGGGATTTTTACTTATTTAATGGAACTGGTGGTCATAACCTGGATCTGTGTCCATCTGTGACTGTATTAGTAAATAGTTGTAAAAGTCCTTAAAGATCAGGTACCTGGGTGCAAGTAGTGGCTGTTTTCACAGCAGCTCCCCTCTATCCTGGAGCCCACGATCTGCTGCTGGCTCTGAGCAGTTGCCACCTTGAGTTTGGCACTGGAGCTTCTGTCAGTGGTAAGCTTTGAGAACACATCAGTCTCTCATTTCAAAATATATGACCAAACTTGCTCTCCTTTTATAATCTCCCATTATTTTCGAGTCTGATTTTCAGCTGTTCAGAAGTTTGTCATTAATGTTATGATTCTGTGTCCAGCTAATTCACACCTTGCACCTGTGAAGTAATGCTGAAAACCCACCTGTCCTGATGATGAAGCTGTGAATGTCTCTGACTGCCTGTACAGAAGATCATTCACAAACTATTGCAGAGAGTATGAATTAGGGAAAGCATCTGACCACAAAAGGACATGCTAGGATGCCCTCTAATGGAACGCTACAAAATGTGGTTTTGTCTTTTGAAGGTACCTGCAATGAAGTTACTGGGTTTATTTAGGAAGGGGAACTCTTTGCTGGGACTCAGAGCCCTCGCTGTGAATGCGGTGCTGTGGGGAGCAAAGCTGCACTGTGGGAGGTGGAGGCTGCTGTGCACTTCAGCAGCTGGGAGATGTTTTTAATGGTTTGAGAAGGTGTGCATTTTGCATCTGCTTCTGACAAGTTCAGAGTTTCTAAAATTTGTAAGGTGAGGCAAAGCTGTCAGAATCCCATAGGAAAGCAGTGTGAATGCAGAAGGCAGGGAGCTGTGCTGGAATTTTGCTGTCTGGACTGCTGAGGATTGCCTTTTGTGGGTTTTTTTGGTGTTTTTTTTTTTGTTTTGTTTTGTTTTTTTTTTTAACAAAATTGGTTTGGGAACCTTTTTCCAGTTTCTCTTTCTGGCAATTTATCTCTTCACTAAAAGCCTCACCCATTTATAGGGAAGTGACAGCAAATGTTCCCATTAATTCAGGGAGAGTCAGACTGAGCTCTAGGGTAATGCCTGCACATCATCATCCACAAGGGAAAAGACAAACTACTTCTGTTGGGTTTTTTTTTTTTTTTCCTCTGTATGCTCCATATCAAACATTACATTGACTTTAAAGGGATTCAATCCAGGATTTTCATTTTGCTCTCAGCATGCCCTGCCCATTGTTATACAGGGGTACGAGCACAAAGACGTGAAAAGGTGAAAATAAAGTGAGACTTCCTCTGCAGTAGTCCACTTTACAATCGTGCCTTTAAAATTTGTAACCAAGAAAGATATTTAATCACACTTCATTACCCTGAGAGGTTGTGGGTCTGTCTGATGAGAGGATGCATTGTTCTGAACTTTGGAGGGTAACATATCCAAAGAAACGTGCGCAGGCATCTCTGTTTTACTGAATGGGGAACGTTTACATTCCTGTAGAAGCTAACCAGATTTAATCTATGAAATGAGAGAAATCAGGAAGAAGCTTATGAGAGAGAAATGATAAACTTGGAGCTCGTACTAAATTGGAGTAGAAAGAATGTCAGTGGGTCATAATGAACCTGGTTCATATCTGCTGCCAGTGGCATGAGTGCAACAGCCTCATGGATAGCAGCGCTTGGCGAGTTCCAGCTGGATTGAGCTGAGCTGCAAAGAGAAATTACGTGTTGTGGAATGCAGGAGGAGGGCTGTTTGCTGGTCTTTCCATGCAAAAAATATCTTGAAATATCATATGTAGCATGCTCTTCGTGCAAACTAGCAAACAAATTATTAGCTATGGAATAAATGGAAATTTGGTGAAGTGTGTGTGTTGAGAGTGATTCCACGTTACGCAGGGAAGTGCCACAAAGAGGTGTTTGAAGGGGTACTGGTTGAAAGCAGCAGTGCTCTTTGTTGTAGGGGAACAGATCATCTTCAGCAGCTCTGGTGAGCTTTCTTATCTGAAAATATTTATTGACATTCTAGAGGTTAATAGATCTCAAATATGAAGAGAGCCTGGAGACCATTTGCTGCAGGATTCGTACTTTAGTAGTGCTTGTGCTTTATCAGCATGACTTTCTTCACAATCAACCAAATGGATGGCAAGTAGCATCTCGTCCTCGGTGGCTGTGCTTTTCCCATGTTGTCTTTATTAATCTACCACGAGACGAAGGTTCTGTTCATTTAATTGGAGGATCATGTTTTTAAAAAAATCCATATGCTCAGCACTTTTCTTCGTATAATTTATAGGTGCAGAGTTCTGCACTTATGTGTTGGCAGAAAAATAGATGGTCCAACTGTAAGTTAAAAAACAAAAAGGTTAAATGGATAACTTCTGGAAAAGAGGACAGGCAATGCGAGAAAACATCTTCATTCTCATGTGTGTTATATCCTTATTCTTTCTGCTTTCCTCAAACACTGCTATGGTTACTTAGAGCCAAATGTCTGCTTGCAAATGGGTCCGAAGCAAATGAAAGGAGCTCCAGCAGCAGCGTGCCACCGCCATCCATTGGGGAGCGAGGAAAGAGAGGTATTGCTGTAGTGCAAAGCCTGGCTGACCTGAGTGTCCTTCCTTCAGCTCACTGGTGTTTGGCAAAGGTCAGCTTTAAGGCCTTATCTGCGGGGCTGAGGAGCTGCATTCCATTGACATGCTCTGCTGCTCGATATGTGCAACACAGCGTAAATATGCTTCTCTTTATTTTTTTTCTTTAGCAAAACCACACTCCTGCTTTATAAATAAATTGTTATTTTATCTTTGTTCTGCCAGAAGGTGCTACAGATACAAGGCCCATTCCAGGCACCCAGGGAGCTGAAGGCAGAGTGTGAATGCTGCTGTGCACAGCCCGGCTGCGTGCCTGGAGCAGGGCTGAAATAGATTCCATGAAGTGGGGGCTGCCAAGGGCACCTCCAGAGCAGGCAGCAGCCAGGGGCTCCTTATCCAGCTGGTAATTCAGGTCCTGCTTGGCTCTTGGTGTGAAAGGCCAAATCTACTTATTTAGCACTTTTATTTTTTCCTGTTCTGATGCTTTGTGTCACTTTGAAATGTTTTTGTCAAGGTTTGGTCCTTTAAGTATGTGGCAGCGTGCATCCCAACCTCAGATCTCTCCAGGGGCTGCAGGGAAAGGGCTGAGCACAGCAGATTCCAGGCAGTGAGAAAATTCTGTGTAACAATAGAGATCATTTGGCCTAGAGAATCATTGTGCGTTCAGTTCTTCCCCACAATTATTATTGTGCATTTTTCCTCTGTATTATTTCCACTACCTGGAGCAATGCTCTGTGCTTGCCTTCAACTTTTCCTGCTTGTTCCAGGAAGAATCCTGGGTGTGAGTTGCTGAGGGTTGAGCAGGGGGAGCTCACTTGTACTCTGCTCAGGAGCTGCTGTACTGGGAGAGAAAACAGAAATGCCTTTTTCTATAATCCAGTCTAAAAATGAACAAGATAAAACCCAATGGCATGTAGTTCAATGGGAACAGTTCAGGAAAATGTCAACTCTGCGTTGAAGTTGTGCAAAAAATGTACAAAATCTGTTGTTTTGAGAGCACATTTTGAAAGATCCTAACCTGCAGGTGACATGCAGCACCTGGCAGGACGGGCTGTTGGCCTTAGTGCAGTGGAGCCATGGGAAGAAGAGCACAGCACCTCTTAGAAGTGTTCTGTAAGTTCACAAGACGTGGTGTTTTAGGTGTTAAGGCTAAAAATGCCTGTTCCATCAGCGTTAATGCTGTGGGATGTGCAGTCTGTGCTGCGTGGCAGAGACAGTGCATCTGGTGTCAGGGCTGCCCTCTGACTCTTCGCAGGGCCCTCTGTGTATGCAAGCAAAGTATGGCATTGTTTGCTCTTTATTTAGCCACTTGGAATGAGGAGAGGAGGCAAAGAGGAGAGGAGAGGGCTGTAATTTTAAGGGGCATTTGATTCATAAAATCAAATGGGGTTTGTGCTTCTCAGAAATAGCTTGCAAGGCTTGTGAAACCACAAACCTCGCAGGATTCTCCCATCCTCTTTTTCAGTGATTAAGATTTTTATGGTTTTTTTTTTTCTCTTTTTTTTTTTTCTCAGTTAAACACATCTGGGATTTTTAGTAGAACAGATCTTTTGTACAGTGGCTCCATGTGGCTGGATGTCAGCATAGTTCTCTTCAGCAAGAAAACACATAACCACTGGCCAGCATCCAGGTGAGACTTGGCCAACTGTGCGTTTGACTGAGCATTTCACAGAGGCTTCTTTTGACCTGAGAAGTTAAATTTTATAGAAAAAGATCTCAAAAACTATAAAGAGGAAAGACTAGATTCATCAGGGAGCTGCTTCAGAGCATCCTGAGCCCAACCCTGCTGCTGCTGCCCACTGCACCCACGCTTACCCCAGTGCTGGAACAGCTTTCCTTGCTGTCATTGCCACCAGTGCTGCTTTTGGTGTTATGGAAATGCTGAGTGAGGACTGAAGGCAAATCCCACAGGTGTGGGGGCTGGCTCCTTTATAGCCCTGGTGTGTGTTGGTGCAGATGCCACAGGGCAGACTTTGAGTGGGATATTGTACATGGAGGCCAATATAAATACATTTGTGCAAAACAGTTGTGCAGTGTGAAGATGAAGTTGGAGTGGCTGATGCTGACAGAAACCACG